ACACGTTCCCAGGCACACATACTACACCACAAACAGATCTATTTACACACAAGCACACTTCCAATACATTGTTAAGAGTTTTTCCATTATGAAATCAACCTTTATATTCTTAATTTGGGCATATAAAAACAAAAACAATAATTTATTGATGACAACTAAAAGCTAGGGATAATGCTGATATCTTTCAAATATCATTATTACACAGCTTCTGTGTTTATTATACAATAGAACCAAATATTCCAAGCACAAATTATATGGCTTTTTGGAACAATCAGCTGTACAATCTCTGACAAAAATCTTGCCTTGCCATTGAACTACACCAAATTACATAGCTCATTATAGAATTAATAGTTGAAGATACTATTGCTCTTCCTTTAATTTAATTAGTCATTCCTACCATTGTCTCTTTAATCTTTAACTGCAAACCTCTTTCAGCCTAGTGACACTGACATATAGCTTTTGGTCTTTTTTAAGTTACAAATAAATTATATTTGACACTGGCAGGTACGACTCAAGAAGCAATCTATCTTCCTCTCTATGACCTGTAGATTATCTTATTTTTATCACTTTCTAATATTCATAAATTAAACTTTTCATAGATACATTTTATACTGAATGTATTCCTGATGTACTCTTAAGCTGCGGTTTTGCACCCCCTTTGAATCAGTGCATTGCATAGAGGTGTGGGCTAAACAGGGTGCCAGGTAGCCAACACAGCTAAAACATGCAGGGGCTGAGAGCAGTGGATAATTTCAAAACCCGCAGGCAAATAAGGGAGATGGGGCCAGTGTTAAAATTTAGCAAGGGCCGAATTAAAAACAGCGGAGGCGCAGCTAAATGTGTCCTGAATCCCCTGTCTGGTTGCTGCTGCTCACAGGATGGAAGCAGGAAGGATTCACTGCTTCTCCAGCAACTCCAAGACTCCAAAGGCAGCAGTGCATCCAATAGCTCTATAATGGAAAAAGGCAGCTTTCTGTTTGTGTGTGTGACTCTGTCTGTCTGCCTGTAACTGTGTGTGACTGTCTACCTGTAACTGTGTTTGTAGGACGGTCTGCCTGTGGCTGTGTGTGATTGATTGTCTGCCTATGACTATGTGTGTGACTGTGTGTGTAAATGTCTTTAACTGTGTTTGTAGGACTGTCTGCCTGTGACAATGTGTTACTGTCTGCCTATGACCGTGTGGGTGTGACTGTCTGCCTTTGACTGTCTGCCCGTAACTGTGTATGTGATTATGTGTGTGAGTGCCTGTAACTGTGTGTGACTGTCTGTCTGTAACTCTGTGTGTGTATGTGTGTGTGACTGTCAGCCTGTAACTGTGTATGTGACTGTCTGCCTGTAACTGTGTGTGACGGTCTATCTGTTACTGTCTGTGTGTATGACTGTCTTCCTGTACCTCTCTGTGTGTGTGACTGTCTGTTTGTAACTGTTTGTGTGACTTTCTGTCTGTGATTGTGTGCCTGTTACTCTATGTGGCTGCCTGTAACTGTGTGTATGAGATTGCCTGTAACTGTACATTTGTGTTCAACTGTATGCCTGTGTGTGTTTCACTTTCTACTTGTGACTGTATGTGGCCACCTGTAACTGTGTGTGTGCCTTTCTGCCTGTAACTTTGTGTGTGACTCCCTGTAAATGTGTGTATGACTGTCTGCCTGTAACTGTGTGTGACTATCTACTGGTAACTGTGTGTGTGTGTGTGTGTGTGTGTGTGTGTGACAGTCTGCCTGTAAGTGTGTCTGGCTGCCTGCCTGTGACTGTCATTTTGTAACTGTGTATGTGACTGTATGCCTGTGACTGTGTGTGTGGCTGACTTTCTGTCTGTAAGTCTGCGTGAGAGTGCGTGCGAAGGACTGTGTGACTGGGACTGTGTGCATGTGGCTGTATTTGACAGTATATGTGTATAAACGTGTGCATCTGACTGTGGAACTGTGTGCATGGGACACTGCAAAAAATACACACCTGCATTCAAACATAGGCTTACACGCATTTAGAAAAAAAATCTTAAGTAAATACCCATTTTAAATATCACACAGATCTAATACACACTTATATTATACACAGTCAGTACACCCATAACAAATAACATATATAAGCGCAGATCAGATCTAGTCATACATGGTTGCATGGTCCTCTCTCTGCTAATATGTCTATAGCTCGTTCCTGTAAGCACTGTGCATGCTTTTTCCCGGCTTTCTAAAGTCTCTCTCTTTTTTTTTTTTTTAAAGATAAGCACCTTCTAACAATGCATTTTTGGAATACTGTCCATGAAATTATACTACAAATTTGAAAAATAATATTTTACTCTTAGATAATGGTGGCCAAATAATAAAAGTGGAAGAAGAAAAATATATTCCTGCCTGTCTGACTGAGGATAGAAAAAAAGACTGTGGTATAGAGTCAGAGTGACTTTTTATATATGTTGTCTATTAATTTCCTGTTCTTTTGGTTCTGGGTGCAGAGCTATCAATAAGTAATGTTGCCATGATTAGCCTGGAATGAAATACTACTTGGCAAATCACAGAATGAAAGTGTATTTTAAGGGAAAAAAAAGTCAAACATTTGACTTGTACTGTATTTTCACAGAAAAAAAAAAATCATAGTTTGCAGAATAAAGACATTCAGACATTGCAAGTGATTTATTTTTACAATGTACTGCGCCATAATGTTTTCTAGTTAGAGTATCAAAAAGCATATTTATCACCTTGTTTGTCCTATTCAGATAATATGAATTGGCAGAAGATCTGGTTATCTACCTTTTAAGTTCAGATCAGTGTATATTATCATGTCAGCCATTTGTCCTTTTGCTCTTTGCTACCTAGTGATACTTTAATAATAATAATAATAATTTGCGATTTCTATAGCTCTTTTCTCTCTGTGAGACTCAAAGGACTTTACAAATATATAAAACAGACATAAAAGTTAAGAATTTCTGATAGTTGGATGAGCAGACTGAAGGACTGATAAAAGAAGTGAGTCTTTAGGTCAATGGAAAAGTTCCCAGGAGGAAGTCCTGGAGAAAATAGAGTCCTAGACATAGAATTCCATCAGGCTAATAAGAGTGCACAGATAACTACCAAGAAGGTGGAGAGCATCTTGGAGTATAATCACCCTTAGAGGTTCTCTATTAGATTTAACCTTGAGGTCAACACATCTTAAGAAATCTTTTTTAGTTGAAATTTAAGCTGTTCCTTAACCAGAGACCAAATTGGGGTGATAGGTGATTTCCAATGTCTGACTATCATAAGTTTTGCAGCTAATAGTATGTGAGTAGCCAGGGGAGTATTTAAAGCGGCACTGTCATGCCGAACTTACCTTTCCTCAATCTCTTCCTCTTCTCCCCCTCTCTCAGGATCTGTTATTCTTTTCTTCCTGTCTTCTTTAGTTTTCTTTAAAATCATAAGACAAAGTAAGGACTCTTTGCCTTATGGAGGATTCCTCCGCTTGACCAGCTCTGACCAGCGGAGGAGCAAAGTGTGCTTCATTTCCGCTGGTCAGAGCAATTTTCCCATGATCCCTAGCTTTCCCCAGTGTTCCCACAATGCTTCCTGTCACTTTACACTAAACTGCCGAATTGCGTTCTAACTGAATGACAACAGTCTGTTCGTTTCTTTTAGAACGCAATTTGGCACTTTATTCGGATCAGAATTTCATTCTAATGAATGAAACTCTGATCCTATTCATTGCTGTGGCTGCATCTTGCAGCCGTTTAGTAGATAACTCCCTAATTCCCACAGTATCAGGGAGCTATCTACTAAAAGGCTGAAAGACCTAAATTGGTCTAACAGCCAACTTTACCAATACTAAGTAAAGATTACTTAGTATTAGTAACTTAAATGCCCCTACTCGCTATACCGCGAGTAGGGGCATGTAGGCAGTGAGCGACAGCTGC